GGAGAATGTCATTCTAAGTGAAGTGAGCCAGAAAGAGAAAGAAAAATACCATATGAGATTGCTCATATGTGGAATCTAAAAAAAAAAACCAAACAAAGCATAAATACAAAACAGAAACAGACTCATAGACATAGAATACAAACTTGAGGTTGCCAAGGGGGCAGAGGGTGGAAACGGATAGACGGGATTCCAAAATTGTAGAATAGATAAACAAGATTACACTGTATAGCACAGGGAAATACACACAAGATCTTATGGTAGCTCACAGAGAAAAAAATGTGACAATGAATATATATATGCTCATGTATAACTGAAAAATTGTGCTCTACACTGGAATTTGACACAACATTGTAAAATGATTATAAATCAATAAAAAAGTTAAAAAAAAAAGCTCTGAACAAAATAAATGAGTTCATCTGATCAAATTCAGCATAGTACTATGGACAGGAGAAACCACACAGGGCGCCTGCCAGGCATGTGGATCCAGGACTTACCGTTCTATATTCACCTCATTGCCTTGGTCTCTCTTGTGGAAGATCATAGTATATTTACCCACTGCAAGCAGTGGCCGGATTATTTTCATTTTATGAAGCTCAACCCTGGAAAAATAACAGGGATTAAAAAAAAAAAAGTCCATCCCACTTACCTACCACTAGGCACTTAATAAAGAATCATCAGCAAAAATTTACACACACGTGCACATACAGAGTCACACGTATCTTGACTATGCGGTATTAAAAAAAAGAATTTTTTTATAATGTTGGGCCTCAGACAATAAGTCCATAAAAGAATCACATTGAACATTTACTACTGGGGTACAAAGAAGATGTGTCACTTTACAGTTTGTTGTTTTCCAAAAACAACTGAGAAAATACATTTTAAAAAACATGACAAGTAGGCGAATCAAGTTTCTTAGGATCCTTAATTTACTTAGTGCTTCCTTCTTTGACAAAGAAAGTAATGATTGTTAAAGGTCAAAATCTAGGTTCAAATCTAGACTTTGTTGCTTACAACCTTGGTAAGTCAGTTCATCATTCTAGGTCTAGGTTTCCTCACCTGTAAAATGGCAACAGTGCTACAGAGTTGATCGGACAGGCTCAAAGGAGGCCGTCCTTGGGGAGCATGCTTTGCAAACTATAAGGTACTATATAAGTGCAAAAAGGGTGGTGCCTGTTTCACAGGTGAGTAAATAAGTATTCAGTAAAGAAATCTCAACCAACTTTCATGTACCAATCAGTTGGTTTATCCAGAGCATTAGTCAAGAACCACTCTGGATGCCATGATGTTCTCATCAAATGAAAGCAAGACTTGGGGCTCCCCTTTCCTTTGAAGCTGAGGAGCAACAGGAAAAAAGAGAGTGAAGATACATGATCAGTGCAAAATTCTACTAACCGTCCCATCTGGGCAGAGAAGTGGGTTTGGGGAAGATGATGGGTACTGTCAACCCCTAGGCTTTGCTACTCCTGCCCTGAAACCTTGCAGGCACCCTTGGTCCACTTCCTAAGCCACGGCCACAAGGGCTGCTGCTGACGGGCTGGTCCGTGAAGCTGCCCATCCCTATGGCTGTTCCCATGCAGCCTTTGGTCAGGGAGACCCCTCCTGTCAGAAACATTCCAGAGACTCTCAGCCTAAACACAGGAAAAAAGATCAACATGGAGCCCTGGCTTCTTCATGCCAAAGCAACGAAATATCTCCGGTAGTCACAAGTCTATTAATTTCAGAACCTCAGCTGAGAAATTTCCTTTCCAAGAGGCAACAAGAAGAGGAAAGGGGTCTCTTAATAAAAAGGCCTTGTTATTACAAGTCTGAAGATCCTGGCCCCCAGCTCTTGAATAATTACTTATGTCTGGGAGCTAGGGATACCCACAACCATCTGGCCACGAAACCCAAGTTCAGGAAAGGGGGCTGACAGAGGAGACCAGACATATCCCCGGTGGACCCCCCAAGCAGAAAAGAGTCCAGGAGGATCTGAGAGTCGTGCCAGCAGCACAGAGTCAGGCCTGGGAGTCAGGCCAGCAGCTGCTCCGCCAGCGTGTGGGGCTGGCTCACAAAGGAGAGGACACCCTGGTCTGCTTCAGGGCGTGCAACGCCTCACAGGCTGCTAGCGTTCCCTGCTCCGCACATAGGGAACTGCCAGGGTCGCCTAGAGTCTGAGAGAAAACACAGGCTTCTAACAGGCCCTCTGGCCACTTTCCTCAAATTACAGCTTTGCAGACACCCTGCAGTTTGGGACTTTTCATTCACTGGCAAGACCCTGTCTCAGTAAGTAATATCCACTGACAAGTCCACAGAGACCTCCATCAACACTCCTGGACCCCAAACACCCACAAGCCAGGACCAGATCACCTTCCACCATTTCTAAACTGTCAATGGCAAAGAGCAATTTGGGCCACCCTGCCCTCCCTCCACTCCCTGCCACCCCTGAAGCCCAAGTCAGAGCCTCATGACCTGCTGGACTGGCATCTACAGGATGGACAGGCATCTACACACCCACTGCTAGGAGAGCCCCGTGAAGGGACCTGTCTCTGTTGTTCACCTGAGTCTGAGGTCATCGTCTTCGCCTCCCCATCCCCAGTAGTTGTTAGAGAATCCATTCACCTTGAAAAATTGCTCTCGGCTTAGGGCAGTAACACCCCCAAAATATCCACTGTAACGTAACCTGGAGCCAAAGAAAGGAGAGAAAAGACCATTAGCACAAAGCCCTTTTGTTCTCCACAGAAGCTTCAGAAGTCTCGCATTGCAGGGCTGGCATTCTAGGACACTTTGAAGACTGTGCACTTTCATCCATCCACTGCTGCTTGACATCCACCTCCCCACGTTCCTGGCCTTTTGTCCTCTGTCTAGACAAGTGCTCACATCTGCTCACTAAGCAAGGTGCCACCCACCAGTTATTGTTAATTTTTGTGTGCAGAGGTCTACCTGTAAATGTGCACTAGAGCATCAGATTTGGATGATGGATTTCATCTCATGGGCCAATCAAATGAACAGTAGTGGCTGCCAAGGGTAGTAGGTTAAGAAGGATTCTGAGGCTGCATCCAGGTTCAGCATGTGTGAATGTCATAATGAAAATGCTGTTTTTTTGACTTTTACTTTTTTTAGAGAGAGAGTGGGGCTGAGAACAGAAGACAGCTCCTGTACACACTTTGTATGTAAACCTCCACCTTTGTGCATGCAAATCTCTATCTCAGAGTCTGTTTCCTGGAAAACTCAACATACCTCAATAACCCCGAGGTTTCTGGCTTGGGCAACTAGGTAGGTGATGGTGCCTTTCACAAAAATAGGATATACAAACCAATAATTAGGTTTTGAGAGGAAGACAATAAATTATGGTTTGGATAAGATGAATTTGAGATACCCTTGGGGCTTCTGCCAGTGGGAAAAAGGATACAGGGTACAAGTTCAATACAGAGGAGTGGCAACAGATACAGCTTTTGAAATCAGCTGCCAAGAGGTGGTACCTGAAGGCATGAGACTAGGAAAAAATTGCCCAAAGACAATGTAGTAAGTGAAAACGTAAGAGTACAAAGGGCAGAGCTGGGGAAATACCAACAAGGAAAAGGGGAAAGAGAAGAGGTCAAGTACCAGTCAGAGAGCACTGCCTACTCATACAGAGCTCATGGATTACTAAGAAATAAAGACATGCCTTGACTAGAACACTGTAGCAATTCAGAAATGCAAATGAAGGCAGCCTAATAACTTGGATGTTACCGAATAAAAAGAGGTGACTATATGGAGGATCTCTAACTTTAACTTCAGTTCAAAGCATTCCAGGACCAATTAAATATTTCTGCTTTTCCAGATAAGGAGGAAAACCAAAAGGAAAGCTCAGTAAACATGTAGACACTTCCTATGTAACAGGTGGAGTCCCGAAGGCTAATCTGTAGCTCAGCTGTTCATTTCCATGCTCTGAGTACAGACATGGAGGACACTGTTTAACTCATAATGGAAACTGATTTACTTATATACCTCCAACCTAAAATTCTGGAAAATGACAACCCAAGACAACCAAAAGGAACAAAGTGCTCAGAAGGCAGCTATTACTGACCAAGACGGCTACTGCAGTGACCTGTTGCTATGGTTACTGGACTCATCTGACAAGGAAGGGATTCCTAAGCTACCTGACAACCAGCAGCCTCATCAGGACACTGAGTAGAACGACTGTCCAGGCATAACCAGCCACGCACCAACCAGAGGCCACCAGGAGGGAAGCAGCACTAGTGCTCTGGTAGTGACCCACCACGTAACGACTATACGCTGTGCAAAACGGCTGACTGAACACTGTAATAAGTGGGCCCTGCCCTCCCACAGTGTATGATCTAACACGAGAGGTGAACATGATCAGGGTTCTGAGGAAGGAGATGCCACATGTCAGGTCAGGGGGCCTAGGAGGATTCAGACAGGTAGAAAACGGGGGAACTCCCGGTGATCAGAACTCCACGAGGAAAAGCGAAGAGGGAGAAAAGTGCAGGCCATCTGAGGAGCACCTGGAAACCAGTCCGGCTGCAGTGGGAGGTGCAGGAGACCAGCTGGAAGGAGAGGTTAAAGAACTCTCAAGTGCCTCTTAGATGGCAAATGTCTACGCGTTTATTGATCTCTGCTTCTGGTTTTTCTTATCTAGAAAATCATGAATATTTGACTGGCCCTGAAACAGTTTTATTTTTAAAGGGCTGTAAGGCCCAAGGGTGGGGAAATGTAGCCATAAAGTAACAGTAGAGTCCTTGTAGAATGCTGGCAGTAAAATTTGCCACCAGTTGGTACCTGACCCACAGCCAGTGGGATAAACCAGATTTATTTCTGTCTTCATCAGAGTCTGAGACAAGTTACTTTAACTTCTTCCCTCTGCATGTGTGTAAAGTGAAACTACTTCTTGCATTTAGCATCATACTCGTGGGGCAGTTGTGACAATGAATAGTGTGCTGACCAAAGCTCTGTGGCGCAGGGACACATGGCTACCAGCAGGGGGCAGACACTTCAGCTGCCCGCAAATGCACCTGCCAGCAGCTAGAGGAATTTCGCCCAAAGGAACAAAGTAAAGTGGATGAGGGCAACCCCTACATTACCTATGCAAACCTCCTCTGGATCACAGAAGATAAGGCAGTTTACATTGATACATATGATAAAGTAGAAAAATATAAATGACAAGCCGGGACCAGAGGAAAACTTAAATCAGATAAAAGATTCAAATAGGAAACATTAGAACTCTGATCTGCAAATAAGATTCTTTTCAGCTTCTAAAAGATGACCATGGATTTGGCTTAGAGCTTCTTGCCTCCAGATCAAAAGATGAGACACATTCAATCACCTGGTTCACATTAAGAAAACTGCCAGTTACTCAAGGAAGACAAAGGCTTCCTGGTATCTAGTTACAAAAGAAACATCTGGCCGGTTATAATAGCAAGTTAAAACAGCAGGATTCATACAGGGGCTGTTTTCAGTCACACTGAAGTTTCACTCAAAATCAGTTCCCAGCAGAAATGCCCAAGACTTCATTTTCTTGTGGTCCAGCTTAATGCAAAGATAAAATCTAGAATCCCAAGAAAAGGCCTGTCCTCAATACGATCCTGTGTATTCACACTCCAAAAATGAACAACAACAAAAAAATCCCATGTGGTCGTCATTTCTGACCACAGATGTTTAGAAAGCCTGGGCAATGGGAAGTCATCGTCCAGGTGAAGGGTCTGGAGCACAGGTATTCTGGATTGTAGAGAGTGACACCTCATCACCAACAAGTGAGCAGATGGTTGACATGCTTCTGAAAATACTGAGGTACCAGAAAGCAACACTTCCAGATAATGATTAAGATCAAGTTCCCCAAAGGAGAACATCCTGAGATTCTCTCCCAGGCCCTTCCCCTGCCCCCTGGCCCCAGTGCCCCTGGAGTAAGGAGGCAGGAACGTGGCATCTCCCCTGAGCTGCTCCATCCCACACACTACAGGCCAGCTGAACTGAGCTTTCTCCTGTCACTCTCTGGCTGTAATCATGTAACAGCAGCTCCCTAATTCCTTCCACAGGAGCCCAAACTCCTGACCAGACTGAACAAGGCCTGCAGAATCTGGCCGCCGTCCATCCTCACCTCTTGCCTCTCCTCCCTCCGCCATCCCAGACGTTCATTCTGCAGCACTAACAAACTACCCATATTTCCCCCAAAACTGTGCCACGATCTCCCTCACTTCCATGTCTTAGAACGCTGCCGGGAAGCTCCCGTTGACTCCACAAGATGAAGGGGTCATGTTCCCTGAGCAACAGCTTTAAACCCTTCCCTAGGTGTTTCTACAAGATGGGGCGCTCTCACCCACTGTAGCTTATTCCTATTATGTAGCTTTGCTTATTACATCCCACACCTCACAGCGGGGCTGGGCTTAAAGTCAGTACCTGAGGCAAAAATCACCTGCGGGCAGTACTAATCTGGGAAATCTCTTAAACAATCCAAAGTGGGAAACCTGCACAAAAAGAACAACATGGAAACCAAGCCCAGGGGAGGTATCAAGAGATTCACTGTTTCCATCTGGTGCTCACTTCCCAGAGTAGACACTGGTGGAATCTCCTGCATTATTTTACGGTTTTATAGTTCTCTCTCCTCTCCTCGTCATCAGCAAATGCTTCCAGTTGAATCTGCAGAAGCGAAGTACAAAACGGACACACCTCCACCGCAGGTCTGTCCCCAACACCAGCACGCCACAGGGAGCTGTGTGAGGGCAGGCACTCAGCCTTATTCAGATTGCTCTCAGGGCCCCTAGCTCAGTAAGCACCCCACATACGAGCACCCATGAAGGGCAGGGCTTGAGGGAAGCGGACAGGTAAGTGTGCACACATATAAGCAAACACGCAGTTTCCCTTGTGGAGAATTTTCTTGGTCACTGTTTTCCCTCAGTTGTTCTTGAATAGCAGCTGGTTTAAGACAAGGTGGAAAAGCAGCTCCTCCTCCCCTGGCAGGAGAGGGGCCGGGAACGAAGACAGGTGTGATGGGGCCGGGCTCTTCCCACAGCGGCTCTGAGAGGAAGAGCTTGTCCTGGGTGTCCTGGCTCCTGAGCAGACTACTTGATGGATATGCCATCCCCATTCTCCCTCCAAAGCCTGGAAAGATGCCACTGTCTGCAAAGAGTCCCACAAACGAGGCCTAAACGTTGCCCTCGGGGGCACACTCGCTGCGCTGCCTCCCGGAGGCAGAAGTCAGGGTTAGACAGATGAGTCACTTGAGTTCCACTCGTTGCGGAGCGCTTGCGAAAGTTCCACCAGGGAGGCAAGGCAGGTGAGGCAACGCTTGGATTATCTTCCCTCTCCTGCTCGCTCCCTTCCGGCTTTGTGATCCTCTGCCAAGGCTGTTGTAATTTCTCTAATTCCTGTTTTGAACTTTAGGTGGCAGATCATGGACCATTTTTCCTATTTCTCATTTTCCACAGACACCCCGGACACCGTGTCTGCACAGACTTCTCGACCCAAGCAAGACGTGAGCAGAGCCACCTTACCTGTACCCAGTGCTGTTCCTGCCAACCACCAGATGCTTGGGCTGGTCCTCACACTTGTAAAGGTTCAAATCATTCTCGGGCACCAGGTCCACATCATGGAATATAAAGCAGTCCCAATTTTCTTCCTTGAGAGCTTCTAGATAGCCCACATTCAGGAGTTTGGCACGATTAAACTTTTTACTTCCAGCCTATAGATAAGGAAATTAAAACCTGAGAAGCTTTAAAAGACAAAATCTGACACTGTGCCCTTCTTCAGCGCAGATGCAGGAGCTGGTATTATCCTTGCCAACTCACAAAACTATCTAAATGACATGAAAACAGACCCTTTGTTTTTCTCCTTACGTTTCATATAAACTTATATTCCATAACCTAAAAACACCTTGAAATGAGGAGTTGCTGTTTAATGGGTTTAGAGTTTCGGTTTTGCAAGATGAAAGATTAGCTGAGATGAGTTGCACAATACTGTGAATATACTTAACACTACTAGAGTGTATGATAAAAATAAGATAGTAAATTTTATGTTATGTGTATTTTACCATAATTTAAAAAAAACCCATAGTTTAAAATACAAATAAAATAATTCAAAAAATTTTTAAACATACGTTTATTTATTCCATGTAAAACTACAAAACCTGTCTTACATACGAGTCATGTCAGTATTACTGCTTCACTGTTCGACTCTCGGCTAATCTCAACCTACCCCGTGGAACTAATTTACACTAAACTTCTAAAAAATATAGCTTGCCAGAAAGGATCAAGAAATCTTGACCTACACACAGAAAAGGTTACCGCCAATTTCCAAAGCTACTTAAAAATCTTGCGGAATCACTGTAACAGAATCCTGCTTTAACACTTAATGGCAGAAGCTAATCCTCACAGTGGCCTTACTGGGGTTTGCCATTGGGTAAGAAAAGAACACAAATCAACTGGTACTCTAATCAAAGCTATAGTAATGAAAAAGTGTTTTACAGTATTAATTTTTTCATGGCTCTTAGGATCAAATTCCTTAAGAATAAATTCCAGTTCAATGAACAGTTTATCACAACAAAAGTACAGGCAGTTCTCAAAACTCACCATAGTATTTTCCTAAAAAGAGTTAACACAAAGCAGACATATTCTTCCATTCATAAAAATATTATATGCTGGCAGTTGCTACCCTGAGTAAGAACTCTGAATGACTAATAATGCTAAAAACAATTATGAACCAATATAATAGTAAAATTTTGTTTCAAATCCTTAAAAAATGGGCATAGATGTACTATGTATACACACACTGATTTTCAAGAGCCCCAGTTTTTATAAAGTATGCACTGCAAAGCTGCATCCTTTGACCTGTCAAAAGTTTTCCTGAAACAAATATTACCAGTTATAACCAACACTAGGCATGTAGTAAATGATTTTGCTTGCATTCTTAGCATTTGCAAGGATTGAGAGGGAATTATTTGGATGGCTCATGATAATTTGGAAAAGCTAGCCATGGATATTTAAGTTGATATCTTATTTTTCTTTCAATAAATGTTAGTATCAAGTAGAGGCATCTGAGATCACCCACTCCACCTAGAGCTCACCTCCTCAAGAGCGACCTGCACTTTTACTCACTGTGTTTCTACTAAATCATGTGTTTCTACTAAATCATGCTTCTGGAGGCCAAATAAGAGACTCAAAAAAGTGAAAACTTAGCAAAATGCTTTACATAATAGTGGCAAAGTTAAAGGCAAAAAGGTGGAGACAGTCATAGAATTTCATGGCAGTTAACACACAGTAATCTGTCAAATCCTCTGTCTAGATCCCCATTGAATAGCCATGTTCAATAACAAAACCCAATTTCAGTATCTCATCATGGCTAAGTTCCTGAGAGAGAGGAAGGAGTGGAGGCAGAGTCCAGTCTGTCTCCCGCACTCACCTGGTGGATGATGTAGATGCCATACTCCAGCTGCTGCCTCTGCAAGAAGGGGTGAAGGTGTTTGAGCAAGTACAGCAGGTGCTTCTCTCTGTTGCGATGTGGAATGAGGATGGCGACCCGCTGAGAAGCCCTGCACTCCTCAGGGTGATACCGGCCTCTGTGCACTTTGGGGTTTTCTGCCTGTACTTCCTCTAGAGTGAGGTCTGGTTTGAAGACGAGCTTGATCTTGCCCTCTACAGTGAAAACAGGACACAGGAAACGATAGGACCGAGCTCACCAAGGGCTGATAAGCTTACAGGAGCAGCACGTCACGCACTTCGAACGTTGCCTGGCACGCACTAAGTGCTGTATGAATGTGGGCTTTTATCATTACTTTAAAGCCTCATTTGGTCATGAACCATAACCACAGAACCATGTGACTCAGGTTCCTGGCTGCAAAAGCAGGCGCATGAGATAGAAGAACATTCCCTTGAGGCTGGGGGACGAACTCTGGCTCTATGACTCATCGGTGAGTAGGAGATCCACTCTGTCCTGATGGGCCTGGGGCAGAGCAGAGGTCAGGGCTGGGTAACTTCAAATGTGCGCTCACCTCTTTTCCTTCTCAAAATTCCAAAGGAGGGTGAAGTCTCTTAAAAACCAAGACCATTCCATGGAATTGAGCTCACAGACAAGGCCCTTTCCCCTAAGGTCCTTCCAGAAGCTCTTGGGAGCTACTCTAACTCCCTCAAGGTAAAACAGAGAAAGAAAATAGGAAGTGGCCTCCCCACCTAACGCACCAGTAACAGGTATGTGCCACAGTGCAAGGACTCGCCCAGTGTTCCACGGCAGCAGAATCCACAACGGGGCATCTGCTCAGCAAGTCTAGACACAGCCCGACTGAATGAAACCCGAGGACCATCCATGGTGACCAGTCTCATGCAAGCCTTTGAAGATAAGGCTGAAGCCATGGACCCTCCCGTTTGATCTGAATTAACAGGGACAACAGACTGGTAAGAGAGGAGGCAGAGCTCTGTTTAGGAAACAGAGCCACGCTTTTTAAAACTCCATGTGTACCAGTCAGGCTATAAAATCTCAAGATGCCTGCAAGTTGCGCTATCCTCTTCCAAGCAAACCAGTCACCTGCCCTTCCTCTGTTGTCACTGTGTAATGCTGCACGTGATCATCCCCTACATGGGCTGCTTAGACCAGGCTCTAGCGTCTGCGAAGTGGCAGAAGGACTCTGCCCCACAGTGCCAAGAGCAAATGACTGCTTCCAGCCACCTAAAACTGACCTACAAGAAAGAGCCTTTCCTGAAGGGTCTGCACACGAGACATGGAGCCAGTAGGCAGTAATGCCCTAGAAACAAACAGTAAGAAAAGGAGTTACAATGAAAGACAAGCTACCAGAGCTGCTGGGAGACAATGGGGCGGCTGTTGAGACAATTTCCGGCAGAGCCTGTTCACAAACCCCACCATCTGAGTGAACCTGACCATGTCTTGGTTCTTGGCCCCTGGAAGAGCCCCACGTAACAGGTCTGATGTAAACCAGTCCCCCTGCTCACTTTCTCACTGTTCTAACTTTTTACGAGCCTAACTTTCCAGCGCCCACTTCCACTCACTCTAGCAGCCTCCCTTACTGCCTCCGTGACATTTTCTCAAGTTTTGTACCTCCTTGGGTCACCAATGGCCCATCTTAACTTGTCACTACTTATGTCATCCTCTTGATCCATACTCAGGACTGACTGTGTCACTGCCCATCTGTTTTTACAGATGCATTTGTTGTTTAAATATGTTGAGAGGATTTCAAACAAGGGAGATGATACAGTCAGATCTGCATCTCAGTAACTCATTTTCCTATCTCAACTTGTGTAATTTGTGAGCAGAACAATTTCCCTCCACCAAACACTCAGGAATAATGTTTTTGCTTTTCTGTGACTGAGTAAAGAGAAGCAGCATTCCAACATGAGCACAGTTCAAGTCTACCATGCAATTAGGAGAGAGGGTCTGCAGGTTTTGTTCAGCTTAGAGCAAGAAGCCTCCGCAGAGCCCCAGGCCGCCCCACAGAGAGCTAGTTAAGTGTCTGCAGAGAGCCACCTCTGTAGGACCAGGGAGGGGCTCTGGACTTCACAGAGCTACAAAGGACCACCCTGCCTTCATCCTGCCTGTGTGCTGTCTCCCAGGGGAAAAAGGCGAATGTGGGAACAATACACTGATCAGCAATCAAGAGAAACAAAACAGCAGTCAACAGAAACAAAGACAGGCACACAGGGAGCATAAGATTACTCTGGGGCAGTCTCAGAAATCTTCCTGGGAGAGAAGTAACCTAAACTAGATTTTTGATGACTAAACAGGATCCACCAGGCAGACATGGCCTGAGGAAAGGCATTCTGGAAAGACACTCTGAGGACTATCGCAGGAACTATGAGGACTTAGATGTCTGGAGAAGCAGAGGTCTGACTGAACCTCTGTGGGTCACATGTAATACCGCCGTGGAGTTTTTCCTCTCTAACTAAGGTGCTCCCTAAAACCAACTTACTGTTCATTTAGATTGAAAAGCAAGACATCAAAGAGGAATCAAAATGGACAACGTACTTAAGAAATAAGCACAGAAATACACTAGGAAAGACAACACTGAAAACATACTGTCCTATCCTTTGACTCCATACTTTGCGCCAAGGGGATGCTAAGAGATGTGACCCGGTGGAGGCTTGGATGTGCTGGCACTTCTCCACCTGTGCTCGGTAGGTGCCAGGAGAACATGCCCAGGCCAGCTTGCTGGTGCCAGGAGGAGGGTGAGACACTTGGAGCAGAAACACCAGCCTAGATCAACTGACCCCCAGCTCACCACATGTGCCTACTGACATATGGTGCTGAGACTTCTGGGGCTCGATGGTAAAACTGGGGGTGTTCATGTAATAAACACTATACATCAGCAACACAGACCCCAGCTCACCAACACAGTGTTGAGCAACAGAAGCCAGACACAAAAGAGTACATAGTGCATGTCTCCAATTATGTAAAGTACAAAAACAGGAAAAATCTAATGAATGGTGTCAGCATGTTGAAGTCAGGGTAGTGACTCAAAGAGGAGAACTTCTGGGGCTCTGGAAACATTCCATTTCATAATTTACATACTGGGCACACAGGTCTATTCATTTTGTGACACCTAAGTGAGCCGTACACTTCTGACTTTTGTACTTTCCTGTACATTTGTTATGTTTAAAGAAAGAGTTTGTATGCTACTTGTGAAAAAGAAAAATTAACACTTACTGAGGTACGGAGACACAGAAGGGCAGCTGTCAAGGTCTGCTTTTTTCACAGACGCTTCATCCGTCACGGTTCCTTTCTTCCCCGAAACGTTGCCCTTGTTGAAATTAGCCAGGAGATCCTTTGCTTTGGAGATCTTTTGAATAGCACCCACAAAGTAGTAACTGGTGGCCCACCCAACCACCGTCAGGCATAAGGTGAAAAACAATAGGAATCGGGATTTGTAGGAAAGATGGAAAGTCACGCTGAAGCTCATGTCTTTTATTATCTGAGCCGTGGGTGTGTCTTGGTCTCGCTGCAGGCAGGAAGCTTCAAGTTCAGCTTTTCCAATCCGACTGCAAACCTGATGACCAGGGACAGTGCAAAGCCTGCTCTTGCTTGGTCTGCTCCAATGATCTCTAAAATGCAACCACAAAGACATGCTATTTCAAATGGAAATCCTAGCCTGAAATGATTCACATCAGCACAAACTGAAAACCTACCCCCAGCCAATCCTGACTTACAGTAATAAGAATTCTCCAACAAAGGTTCAGAAATTTTGGAGGTAGACAGTTCCAACCATCACAGGTAGATAGTCCCAACCATTCTCTCTGGGCTATTAACCCAGCTGTCAGTCAACCCAGAAGAAAAGCCATTTCCGGATGTTGCAGAGGAGGAGAAGGCAAAGAAGAGACAGGCAATGCCTCCCCAGCTCTGAACTGGCACAGCCTCAAATTCAGCCCTGATGGTTCGCTTCCTTAGTTGCCCCTTCCTGGCACAGCTTTAAGAGAAGGTAACAACATGTGAAATCTTGTTCCAGAGCATATTTTGACCCAAAGAGAAAGTAAGGGAAAAGACAAAGCTTTTCTTTGTAAGAGCTAGGAAAACATGTTCCTTTACAACAGCAAATGAAAAACAAAGGATTTTTCAATTATAAACATTATAGTCACAATGAGGCAGAGGTACAGGGCACATCCCAACAGGTGAGGGAGCGGGCAAGAACACAAGAGAATGCCCATGCAGGAGGTGGCACAGCTGTGACAGTAACAGGTAGAACTACTGCACAGGGCTTAAGATCTGGGGTTTGGGTTTAGACAGAAACTACAGCTCCACCACACATCAGGCATGAAACCCCAGCCAGTCACTTCACTGAGTCTTGGACTCATCGTGAAATGGGGATAAAAACAGTACCTTCCTAGAGAGGACACTGTGGGACTGGAGGACCTAATACACTAATACATAAAGTGTTAGCCACCTGCTAATGCACAGTAAGTGCCCACAAAGGGCTGTCCATCACTGCTGTGACTGTCATGTTATTTCACACTGAATGACTCTGGTCCAGGGGTGACCACCAGGCAGACACACTGGGGGCTGCCAGGACCACTGCTCCACTGCACTGTATTCCTGTCAGTGGATGAACTGCCATTCTGACTTCATACGTCAACAGCACGTAGTGAGAGAGCATGGATTCACCTCAGAGAGGTGGCTATGCTCTCAGCTAAAATTCAGTGAAACAAAATCCCAGTTTCTGAGACCACACAGCTGAGGGCCCTCCCTGGACCATGGTAAATTTCCTAAGGTGACAAAGTCTACTTGGTGAGGCCCCACATCCTCTCTGCATCACCAAACCCACGTCTCTTCTCAAATTCTAAACGCATTATTAGAAGACTATGGAAAATGCTAACGCCAGGACACTGATAATCTCCACAGCCAAACATATCCTCAATTAGACAGACAGAACGGAGACCAAACTATTTTCTGTGCCAAAATAACACAAAAACACATATAACTAAATCTTAAGTAACAAAGAGAAAAACAGAAAATAAACTCTGTATGTGCAAAACTATAGAAATAAGAAAACTCTAGAAATAAAATATAGCTGAAAGCTAGCAATAATTGTATTAGGAGTATGGGATTAGCCAGGGGTGTTTTTTCTCTTTCCTTTCATTTTTGGAATTCTGTATGATATACTTAGGTGCTTTTGTAATAAAAACAAAGTTGTTGATTTTTCAAATGAGATGTAGGGATGTGGTACTTTACTGTGAAAAACAAAACAACCTTAGCAGCTCTCAAGATAGCCTCATACTTATGTAAGGTTGGTAGTCCAAACGTGGAGCTTGAGGTGAGCCTGAGGGAAACCCAGAAAGCATTCCTCTCTAGACACAATGTCATAAACAGAAGCAATTAAACAGTATGGCCTGTGTTCAGGGTCTTCTAAAGGTATCACAAGTAAGTGCAGCAGGTAGTAATAACTAACTGAACATTAATCATTAATAAGAAGAGGGATTCATTTGTGCATTTACTCTGTGCCACGCACTGGGGCTAAACCACTTGTATGGACTTAGCTGCAGGTGGCTTAAATGCTAGAATTGGCAATAGTTTTTGATAAAAATCTCAATCTTGGAAAGTTTAGACTGGGAACATTGCTTTTCTAAGAGCTGTTTACAGAAGAATGAATGACCTGACAGAGAGACTCGCTGGCTTAAGGGACTTCTGATCAAAGAAGTACTGCAGTGTTAGAGCAAAAGGGACCAGAAACCACACACATTCCAGCCCCCCTCGTTTTAAAGAGGGAGGAAGTGTGTTTCAGACAGATTTTAAAACCTACCCAACAAGTAGCAAGTTAGGAACAATCAGAGACTAATATTGCTGAACTGCAGCCCATGGAATTTATCCAAAGATAAGAAACTTATAATAAAAGCAAGGAACTGTTCTTAATGATTACAGTCATCCCTCAGTGCCTGCGGGGAATTGGTTCCAGGACCCGCCTCAGATGCCAAAACCCTTGGATGCTCAAGCCCTGGAGTCAGCCCTCCATTTTGGCGGTTCTGCAACCTTGGAGTCAACCAACCCCTGACCGTGTAGCACTGCAGCACTTACTGAAAAAGCTGCATCTCGGCAGACCCACTCAGTCCAAACCTGTGTTGTCCAAGGGTTGAGTGTACTTACTAAATAGCCCTTCACGGCTAACCTTGATTCTTCAGACAAGGTGGGCTCCAGTTAAAACTAACCACTTCTCCCTTTTCCTATGCCTTACTGCTTTCCTCAAAACTGACTGTGCAGGCAGCCAGCGTGAAGCAAGCTCCAGTGAGAGGTCTCCAGGGTTCCTGTGAGTAAACACCCCAGGGTGAAGTAGCTAGAACCCCAACCAACTGTTTGTCAAGAGAGACCTGCCCAGCCTGTTTATTAGCTAAGTGATCAAAGGCAAACCCTTTCACCACGTTTATCTGCCCGGCTATAAAACGATTTTAAAAATTAACTTATCTTACAATGTTGATGTAAGAATTTAATGAGATGAGGCAAACACACCTGGTACACTCTCAAGGACATAAGAAATATTTTTTGACTCTGATTACCAATGTGATTCATGCTCCAATTTATCAGAATGCTAACCAAGATAATGCTCTCTCTAGAATTATATAATAAAATACATATTGAATGATTTTTATTTTCTATTTCTCTGTAATTTCCTATTTATCTTTCAATGAGTATACACTACTTTCATAATTAAAAAAATAAGGGAAATACATACAAGATCTTGTGGTAGCTCACAGCGAAAAAAGTGACAAAGAATATATGTATGTTCATGTATAACTGAAAAATTGTGTTCTACACTGGAATTTGACACAACATTGTAAAATGACTATAACTCAATAAAAAATGTTCTAAAAAAAGATCTACTCTCTAAAAAAATAAAATAAAAAATAAAATAAATAAACATAATTTAAAAAAATAAAGTTACTGATTTTTTTAAAGAAAGTTCTTTTTAGAGCAGGTAACTCCTGGTTGATATTTGAGAAAATGGCATCAGATTGGATTTATTTATAAAGACATTTAAATAAATAAGAGGCTCTGAACTTCCCTGAAAAGAGTTTTCTTTTCAATCAAGGCTGTCTTGAGGTGACAGGGGAATCATGATTAAAGAGAACAAATTCAGGCAATGTGAAAGAAGATATTTTAGAGCACGACTCACCACCCTTTTCCTTTCCAGGTCTGCCCAAGAGTTAGCTCAAAACGATGATATTCTCGTAATTTTGTTTTTCCTCTTTAAATTCAACCAGTCCTTTCTGAGCACCTGCTATGTACAGGCATAGTGGTAGGCAGCAAGGGGATACAAAGGGAAATAAAGTATAGTCCCTGCAGTCAGATTTTATTTCAATCCTTTCTTAGATTTTAATGTCTATAATTTGTTTTCAAATATGCCAGCCCCAATCCTGAAAATGGGAGAATAGATGAAATAAGATTGGCAAAATACTGAAAAGTAGTGAAGTAAGGTGACAGGTACCTGAGGGTTCATTTTCTTTTCCTACCTACTCTTTGGTATGCTTGAAGTTTCCATTTAAAAAAAAAAAAAGTCTAGCACAGAAGGTAGCCTAGCATAGGCAGATCAGCATGAATGCTGAGTATCATTCTCAGAGAATCTCTACACACACACATTTCTACATCACCACGGGAGGTTGAGAGAGGACACCAGGTGTCACTCTACTAATATTTACTAAGCACTTCAGTACCATGGAGAAAGGACGTGGTCCTCATTCAGCAGGAAGGAGCACTTAACTCAGCAGTCCAAAGTCTCTCAATCCATCTGGTAACCCCAGGGTGTCTCAGAGTGGGCAGGATGTGGCCCCAGGCACTTGGTCCTACTCCCTTGGGCCTCCCTGGGGCAGCACCCATGGGAAGGCTGGTATTTTGCTGCCTCCCTTCACTCTGGCAGAGTTCCTGAGAGCTGACTATTTGTAAATGTGTTGTCCCCACTCCTTGAACCTCTAGTATCCATTCTCCCAATTCTAGCTACTTTACCTGGTTTCTAAGTGATCACTACCCAGATCCTAAAGAAGCAATACTTCTGTGAAAATTAATAAAGGATATCCTCACCAAAATGGAGTTGAGAGGCCAGGAGAGATACAGATCACTTCAACAAGGACCCTAACAGGAAGAGACCTACCTTCCAACTCTGGCAGGAAGTGACACAACTTTACTACTACCAGCAGGAGGAGGATTTTCTCCTTGCCTGGCAACACCTCAGCCTATGACACACTGTCACAACCCAGCCAATAAAAAGCCACTACATTTCAAACTCCCAGTTTCCTCCAATGGACATTTTGTTCCTAATAGCCTCTCTCAACCTCCCCTCCTCCTCTATAAAAGAGTTTCCTTTCCTTTGCTTTATTGGACTTGCAGGTGGTTTGCCGTAGGTGCATGTTCCAAACTGCAATTCTTTGCTGCTCCAGAATAAACCCATTTTGTCTGTAAAATAACTGGCTGTTTTATTGTTTTAGGTTAACAGTTCCCAGGGCAAGGAGCAAGGATAGGATAGAAATGATGACAGCCATTTACATGCACCAGTCATTTAAACTCCGACTAAGCTTGTAATGGCTGAAACTGGAAGCATTTGAGCAAGGAAATGACAGCACTGTATTTTAACCATAGAATGAAATAAATATCCACAAATCCATACTGATATAAATGACCAAATAAATGGGAAAGGGCAGCTCTTTCTCACAATAAACTTCCAGTTAATAAGGAAGCAGGAGATGAGAAAAAGTCACCAGCAGGTAAACACCACTATAAATAATTGTTGAGAAAAGCTCCACCAAAGGGTGCTAAAATTAGTAGGTAAAAATTGGAGGATAAACAGAGTTTTCACAGTCTTCAAGTATCTCCCCCCAAACAATTAATAGAAAGACAGAAACTTTATAGTGAAGAAACCTAGCAGATATCAACTTAACCAAGTGATCAAGG